TTCGAATTATTGATTTTAATTTCATCTTTTAACATTAAATTTTATTACACATTTGAGAGAACAATTCTGCTTTTTTGATCCTTTAAATATTATTCCATCTCCCTGTGGATACGACACCCCAAAGTTGTACTACAACTATTGCGTTATTCTTTGGGCGCAATCAAGATCTCTGTGAAGTGATTGATGTAATACTTGTAATAAAAGTTTGTCAGTATGTCAATCCATTGTATAGGGCAATTGATTCCTTATCAATATATTAATTGTATGAATAGATAGTGATGTGACGTCTCTATTAAGAAGATGAGGCCACATTGTTTAGATCCAATGATTACAACGTCGGCCAAAATAGTATAAATATGTTCTTTGTGTAATTTAGAAGGAAGGTGATGATGAATTGAAACTGAGACCTTATTCTCAAAATACACAATCACTTGAGTTCATTTTTTCGGTTTCTTGGGCGTGTAAATGAGTAAAACGTTCTTGTATATGATATATCAAGCCAAATACACATTATATCTATCCTTCCACCTGTTCACGTTTGCATATATATAGTTTAGTTTAATTTCAGTCGAGCAATCATAGGTAGCGCGATCGCTTTTATTTCGTTCGTCGGAGCTCGAACAACTTTGTCTCTCGCTGCTAAGTACCTCCCACGTTCATCCTCCCCGTGCTACTGTCATCATTTCGGTAGGAACGCATCGAAATTGTATTTGACTTGGTATGAGTGAGCCCAACATCTATTGGCTCATTTTCGGCAGTCAACACTCACCATCACTATACCTTTTCTTGTCAAAAATTTGGATTCGGGTCACCTTTTGATTATTCGTTGGGACAGTACCAAGCATGCATAAATATATATTTGATACATACACATTTATGTAGATTGAGAGTAGTTATCTGGATCTTGGGGTAATTCAACCCGGATTATATGGATGATGGATCGAAAAGAGGAATTTGAGACAAAGGTTGTACAAGTGACAGACTAGCATTGGGATCTCATGACTGTATTTCTGGATGAGTTTTGATATTCGTTGCACTTCTCCTCCTTCACCGATGGCGTTTCCAACAATAAAGAATTTGGTGGGATTTTTCCCCTGTGATCGTTCCGGCATGAGAATCAGTCGGAGGAGAGGGGGATTTTGCAAAATGACCTATGAATAGTAGTTTTTTAAGATTTTTGTTAAAAGGTCAATTTTACCCTTAATGAAATGGGGCATTTATTGCA